TGTTTAACAACAGAAATCTGGACATCTCAAGCCAATCAGGCTTATATGACAGTTACAGCACATTTCATAGATGTGAAAAACAATAAAATAAAAAATTTTGTATTAGAAACTAAAGAATTTTCAGGAAATCATACAGCTGAACGTATTGTAGAACATCTAGAAGATCTTTGTAATAAATGGCCAATTAGTGATAAAATTATATCTTTAGTATCTGATAATTGTAGTACAATGAGAAAAGTTGAAATTGATTTTGGTAAAGGTATTATTTCTTTTATATTTTCAGGCTAGTATTAATTAGCGATTGGAAAATAGGATAGAGAGGATGCAACAATCATTTCATTAATTTATGCGTTGGTGGTGCTATATGAAAGCTGGATGAAGTTAATAACACACTGACGATAATTTGACACATTGTATCATAAACCAGAGATTGTCATTTAGCAAATGAAATGTTACATAAATACCAGAAATCATATGGTAAAAGACACAAATGGTTTTTTTTAATAAATGCAGAATTAAATCACTGTAGGTTTTCTTGAACGACAATTAATATTCGACGCAAAAACCAGATGGAACAGCACGTTCTATATGGTGCAAAGATTTCTTGAAGAAAAAATGTGTACAATTGCTTGTCTCAATGAAAAGTTCTTTATTAAAACTGTAACTAATAATAAATTTTCTAGAACGATAGAATGGGATTTGATGGATCAACTTATAGTAAGATACTTATTTGAATGTCAATTACTTAATACTTTTTGTTAAGTTTTAGATCATATTAGAGCCTTTTGAATCTGTTACACGGAAGTTGGCGTTGGATTCTTTACCAACACTTTCAATCGTCTTGCCAATTCTAATCAGTTTAATCATGAGTCTTGAAAATCAAACTACTGATCTTCCTCTTGTGGAGAAAATCAAAGATACATTGCGTGCTGATATTGAAGAACGTTTTAAAAAAGTTTATGAAGATAAATTGGTGTGTAGAAAAACCAATAAATAAATATTGTACGATAGAATTTTTTAGATGATATTATGCACAGGATTAGATCCATGTTGGAAAAAATTCTCTTTTGTACAACGATTTTTATATCAAAACTATGGTGCAACATTATCTATTTTTAGCAAATTACAAGTATTTGAAGCTAAACAAACAGCTTATCAATATTTAAATGAAAAATTTAGTCTTTTACTGGGAAATAATATGTCTGGATCAGTTTCGAATGTTCAACATGAAAAAGAACAAAAAACAGAATTTGATTTGTTTGATATCTTGATAACAAATTCAAATGTTACTCTATCTACTACGCGAGATTCTAAATTATTTTTGTATGAGAATGAACTTGGAATATATCGAAATGCAAATCCTCTTGAATGGCGGTCTCTCAACAAAATTAAATATCCAATATTATCACAATTAACCTACATATACTTATGTATTAGTGCTACAAGTGTACCATCAGAAAGGACGTTTTCGACAGCTGGTCTTTTAACTTCTGATAGACGTTTGAGATTGACACCCGAAAATGCTGACATCCTCATGTTCTTGAATAAAAATAGTTAAAATAAGTATATATTTATTATCTGATATATTCGTATACATATTCATATTTTTTCTTGTTATTTATTATTATTATTCACTATTGAAACTTGTGATAAATAAAGATATGGTTCATAAACTTCTTCCAAAAAAAACTTTTTGAAAAAAAATGGAAAATCTTTGCATTCTGAAAAAG